CCCCCCCCCCCCCCCTTCATTACTCCAATTTTTGTCCTACAAGCTGTTATTTTAGGGAATTGTTAAGCTGTGAAGAACATTGAAGAAATGTAGTGAAGGGTAATGAGAAGCTGAAGTGAAGGCAGTGAAGTGAAGGAATTCAATTCAGTTTTAGTTTGCCAGCAAAAACAAAGAACCACTCTTAACTGTCGGGTTCTTAATTAAAAATAACCAAATTTGATTTTTTAACGAATTATCTAAATAGACCATCTCTGTACGGTTTGTGAGGGGTTTATGAGTTATGACCACTCATAGTGTTACCTCATTCACACACTTGTTTGTTTTTGACAAACTACAGACTGTATTCAAGCTCTTTAAGCAGTAGTGTGGATGTGGAGTGTGAATTGCCAAGGATTTATCACTTCCATGCCTAGAAGTCATTGATGCTCACAACATCTACATCATAAGTGTTTTAACTTAATCATTCACCAGGTGAATGTTATCTTTTATAAATGTAATGATTACTACATAAATTTCTGTCTATTTTGTCAAATAGAAGGCAACATTAAAGGTGGGACCAAGCAGGTTAACTACGATACTCCAGGAATGTAATTACTCACTTAAAAATCACATAAGTAGAGAGAAAAGACGACTTCTTGAAGCATGCCTTTCTGTTTGCAGATGAGATTCTTCCTCTTTTAATATCACACTTTTCAAGACTAACAGATTTGATAACTCAACTGCATCCTACCTCTCCCCTTCATTTTTTCTCCAATTTCTTTGGCCACACTTGCAGAAACCGACAAGATTCCCAAACTTAAAGGATGTGATTCTCTGTATTTTATGCAATTAATTGCATGGTTTGGACTTTGATCTGTTGTTTTGTGTACTAGGATAGCTGTATCGTCGGATTTGTAAGAAATATGTTTATAGCCAACTGCTCTTTGTACAATTACTAGTAGAAAATTACACTGAGACGTCCTGGGTTAACAGACTAATACAACGATTTTTCCTCTCAAAAATTACAAACAACTCCGTTTTCCACAACATATTCTCCTTAATTATTTTTAAGGCATGTTTTGAGGGAAGAAGTTTAATAGCAAAAATCTCCTAAAAATTAGAAGGAAAAAAATACCTAAAGGATTTCCCGAATTCCCTACATGGAAAATGGCTTACTTTAAATGGGATGTAAGGGTTAGTTTAATTCTGTCTTCCATGTTGATAGCATTCCCCTTAATTTTAAAGTATGCAACTCCATTTAGGGAATTTAGATAATTGATAGATTCCTCTCTTCTTTAGCAACTGGTTTAACACTAAGACACTATGATGACAATTAAAATATACAAAAAGATTTATGCCCTATAAGTGACTAAAACCCATATCATTCCATTAATACATCCATGTTTTGCAGCAACCCAAAACATTTAACGAACACACCTTAAATGAGAATGACCACACATCTCTATTCCCTATAACACGTGCTGTCAGCTTTACACAATAACAAGAAACACCTATCAGGAAAAATAGACCTCATAAATTTTGACACGTGAAGTTGTCTTCTTTAGATTAAAATACAACATGGCATGAAAAGACAAGGGAATTGTGGTGAAGAAGCACAAAAGAAGTAGATGTGACATAAAATTAAACTTCTTATCCAGAAATGTCAATGAAAGAAGTAACAATCCTAAAAGTTCACTATCCAATGATTGCTTACCGATCAAATCAGAAAACCAGAAGATTCACTTCTCCATTCCACATGAACAAAACCAAAAGAAAACATTAGATATTTCAGCTTAACTAATTAACGACAAATAACTAAGAAGTAAGAACTATTTTCTTACCATTTTAATTATAGAGCCCCGCTTTCTAGCAAACGATATGATCATTAACTTCTAATTAAACACCGTGAGATGACAGAAAAAAAGAAATTTTGTTTTAGAACTATCCTCCCTCCCTCTTCTCTCCTCTCCCTGCATGTATTTATTCGCGTTTATCTTTTCCATTTGGATACATTTTCTCTTGCTTTCTCTGTCTACATGTATCCTGTAGTTCCAACCTACATGCAAATCAACACATGCATGTAGCTAGTCTTCGATGATTCATATCACACGGGAACCCTTGAAAGAGAAGTACATTATCTCTAGGCATTACTGTGGAAAATGTTTAATGGAATACATCCTAGAATAAATTCTTATCCAAGGAACAAGGTACATGTTCAGATGTTCTAAAAAATGATGTATAACACCAACACCAACACCAAATATAGTCGTTAGAATATCCACTTGCATAGCACAATTAAAGGAACTACATTTCATTATAATTACTTGAACAGGAGGTCCAGAGTCACTACTGTGTAAATTTTCATTCTTTAAAAGATAAAAAGAAAGAAACTGTAACAAGACAATCTTACTCTTGACCATCCAGGTTTGCTTGATTGCTGCTTGTACCACCACCACCACTGGCGTAGGACCCATCATCCGGCGTGGTCTGCCACACGGACTGCCACGCCTGGGAGGGCGGATGAGGCGGGGCCTGCAGATAGATCCCCTGATCCATCCCGGGCATTGCGGGCTGCCCCATCATGGGCTGTCCCATTGGTGGGTAATAGTAGGGCACCCCTGTCGCCCCGGTCGCCACACCAGGAGGTCCCAAAATCGCTCCAAATGTCGCAGCCTCTTCCTTGATGTCGTCCCTGGGGACAATATCCACCAGAAAATCGAATATATCCGTACGTGTGATGGCCGCAGCAATGTCGTTCTTCTGAAGGGTCCTCCGCTTGTTCTCCTCCGCGTGGAGCCAGGATCGGATGGTGAGCTCGAGGATGAACAGCTCGCACGCCTTGGAGAAGAGGATCGGGGCCTCTGCAGAGATCATGCGCACATCCTCGTCCGCTTTCATTATCTTCTTAATGCGGGCCAAAGGCAGCTGATGGTTTCTAAAATCGTTCACCTGCTCGATCTCTTGCCGCTGATAGTTCCAAAACATGTGGATTTGCTGCTGCTGCTGCTGTAGGAGTTGCGGGTACGGTGTCTGCGATGGATACATCGCCGGCTGTGACGCCGTCGCCGCCATTTGGTGTGGGATGTTTTCCATTTTGTGGAGGGAATTGGGGAAAAAGTTGGAGAAGGAAACGAGAAATAACTCTATGACATGGAAGGGGTTGATTTTAGTGAGGGTTAATTATATCAATAATTCATAATCGAATTTTAAAATATATTTTAATGATCACCGAACTTTGTACTGTATTATCTATCCGTCATTCAAATGAAAAAATCTGTTAAATCCAACAAATGACGTTAACTTGAGTGACAGATGGATAACACGGTGCAAAGTTCGATAACCATTGAAATACATTTTAAAGTTCGGTTATGAAGTAGTGATACTTGACGAAGTTCAGTAACAATTGAGTTACATTTTTAAGTTCAGTGACTAAGTAATAACATAGGGCAAAGTTCAGTGACCATTAAGATATATTTTTAAATTGAATTATTAAACACAAGAGTTCCATTCATTCCAAAAAAAAAAAAAACATCTTAGACAGTGATTTGACATCATTCAATCACACATTTTTCAATAAAATAATATTAAACGCAAATTCAAAATTTTTCCTTATTTTTTAACTACACGTTTTCTATCAATATACTATTCAAAAATTCATTTTATCCCTCAAAATAGGGATCAAACAAGGGCTAAACTTCACAAATCGACCTCCATGAAAGAAGAAATCAAATAAAATGAAGGGAAACGGAAATCAGAGACCTATAATTAAATAAAAATAGAATTGATGCTAATATTAATCCATCATGGTGAAAAAGTACGTTTGATTTTTAGATCAACTAGTATCATTTCAACGTATCTCAAACTCTGCATAAATAGATTGAAAGAGAAATAATTAGAATACTAAAAGAAATTGACAGAGAAAAATTAAATAAAAGTAAAAAAATGTTCGAATAGTGCCAATGTAACTGAGGTCGATTTGATTTTCAACTATGTTACTAATTAGTCGCTGAACTTAAAAATATAACTCAGTGGTCACTGAACTTCGCTAAGTGTTACTATTTCATAATCGAACTTTAAAATGTATCTCAATGGTCACCGAACTTTGCATCGTGTTATCCATCCGTCACTTGAGTTGACGCCGTTTGTTGGACTTAGCGAATTTTTCCATTTGAGTGACAGATGGGTAACACGGTGTAAAGTTCGATAATCATTGAGATACATTTTAAAGTTTGGTTATAAAGTAATAACACTTGACGAAGTTCGATAACCATTAAGTTACATTTTTAAGATCAATGATTAAGTAGTAACATAGGGCAAAGTTCAGTGACCATTCATATAATTAACCCATTTTACTGATAACTACTGAATTAAATTACACATTGATCATGCAATTTATAAAAGTTTTCATTTAAGTCACTGCTCTTTCTGTGGCCTTTCATGCGTTAACGCAACTCAATTCAACAAGAAGTATGATAAATTGGACATGTTTGATAGGCATGAATTTTCCATCAAAAATTGAATTTAAATTCCAACTTTCACTTTTTGACTGTTTGATATGTTTTTTTTCCCATGGAATTGATTTTCTTGGTTTTCAATGAAAACCAAGAAAAGTCCATGTAAAAAAATATTTTTTTAAGGGTTCATTTGATTGAAAAGATGGAATTTTGATGGAAAGAAAACGAATTTCAATGAATTGAATTGCCTAAAAATTATTTTATTGGGAATTGTCAATTATTGTGTTTGATTGGTATAATTTTCAATGTGAAAAATGTTGAAATAAAAGTATTTTTTGGTGTTCGTTTGTCTTTGTTTTATATTAAAATTGTCAACTAAAGGGATAGAATTGACTGACATTGGGGATAAAATTTATTTTCATTGTCAAAAAAAAAAGAAAAAAATGAAAAAGAAGAAAATTATCTATCTTTTGATATTCGTTTGACTTTGTTTTATATGAAAATTGTCAATTAAAGAAGAAAATTATTTTTTTTACAATTAGGGATAAAATTTGTTTCCATTACCAAGAAAATTCCAGATTTCAAGAAAATCAATTCCATGAGAAAAAAGCTATCAAACAGTCGAAAAGTGGAAGTTAGAATTTGAATTCCATTTTCCATAGAAAATAATTGCCTATCAGACAGGCCCTAATTGACAATTTTCAGATAAAACAAAGTCAAACGAACACTCAAAGATAGATGATTTTTTTCTTTTGACAATGAAAATAAATTTTATCTCCAATACCAGTAAATTCTATCTCTGTAATTGACAATTTTCATGTAAAACAAAGTCAAACGAATACTATAAAATACTTTTATTTCAACATTTTTCACGTAAAAAATTATATCAATCAAACACAATAATTGACAATTTTTAGTAAAACAATTTCTAGGCAATTCAATTCCCTAAAATTTGTTTTCTTTCCACCAAATGCCATATTTGCAATTAAACAAAATAGATTCAATTCGTCCCACACATCAAATGATTTCGAAAGAAAGAAATTCCTTAAACTTTAAAAATAGTTTCGGTTTGGCATAATGCTTTGTCTACGTTGTCTAATAATACTCCCAAATGTTGTAACGCATTTCCAATTAAAGTTGCATATATTATTTTGACTTTGGTTTTGATTTTAGTTAGTTGAGAAAGTACAAAATTTCCAACATAACAAATCTGGTTTAATTGTGTCCTTAGTATCTGTGGCTCCCAGCTCGTAATCGTCCAAAAATTGGTCCAAAATCGCCTAAATCAATCCACATTTATTTCTATGCTTACCGAGAAAAAAATTGATGGATTTTGCTTTAAAGAAAAAAAAACCAACATATACAAAACATAAATTCATCATCCACATTCATCATATGACGTTGGATAAGAATACTTGTACACTCAAATGTATACACCTTTGTTGACACCTCTTATGTGTCAAAAATTTAGTCATTAATTAAAAAAAAAAAGTGTTATTAAAATCAATATATTGAAATCTTCCAACCCACGGAGTTATAAATCATTGTGTTCATGTAGTATAGCCCTATGACCTTCTTGTTGAAGGATCAAAAGTGATCATCGTTGCGGTCATCACCTCTATAAATACAATTCGCACAATTCCCTATCAACCACATATTTCTCTCAAATCTCCTCATGACCATTACTTGAATGTGTTATTAAAATCAATATATTGAAATCTTCCAACCCACGGAGTTATAAATCATTGTGTTCATGTAGTATAGCCCTATGACCTTCTTGTTGAAGGATCAAAAGTGATCATCGTTGCAGTCATCACCTCTATAAATACAATTCGCACAATTCCCTATCAACCACATATTTCTCTCAAATCTCCTCATGACCATTACTTGAATCTTATCAGGCAGTTCTGTAAATATTTTGTCCTATATCCAATCAACCTTAGACATAAATAATTTTAATATATATAATTAATGCAATTTTATAGCAGATCTATTATTTAATATTCAATTAAATTAAATAATAGAGTCCGTAGATTCAAATCTTGATAATTTGTTAATCGTAAGAAGTTGTGATTGTGAGATACAAATTACATATAATTGAATCTTAAATCGTTCGTGGTTGTAAGTAATAACGAGATATGGATATCGTTATTACGAATAGACCATCACGTGTGACATTTTTTACTTGTGAAGTAAGTAGCTGAACTCACAAACTAAAGTGTAGTGACACTTAAATGAACACGTGGATGTTTTGTTGTAGAACAAAATATTGGAAACTCACTTAGAGATTTCACATGAATAACTATCTGAGTATTAATGGTTAATCTTTAACGTTCGGTAGTGAAATTCGTCCTTTGACTTGAGGTCGTCATAGTGCCTTATATGAGGACAGTCATACTTTGACGGTGTTGGATGTTGCTCTGCTATGGGCCGCTAATACAACATCACTCGGCTATGTCAAAAATCGTATGAAGGTTGTGAATGACCAATAAAGGATTTGTCACTCTTAGATAGTAAGAAATTATTATCTGCATTTCATTCAATTAAGTCGATAACGAAATCCTTGGTCAATGTGTACTCATAACTCGAAAAAGAGTTTTCGACTTATATTGACTTAATAGTGGAGTGAAAGATATGATCGATAATCGAGATTGACACACTTCCATCGAGATTGACACGCTTCCATATCTCATAATTGATCAGATTGTATTGACGAAAGAATTATAGTTTTATGGTAAACGAACGAGTTTGAGTTTGTCATACCACATGACATTTTTGGTCACAAATATTGCCCTGACACATTGTTAGATGTTAATCTGGGACAGCGAGTGTGAATTGGTGATAAATTGAAAAGGTGTTTTAATTTATCAATTTTGATTAGATCAAAATAATATTTCACGTCGTTAGGTATCGTGATCGGAACCTGATGGGTCGCACAAAAAATGAGAACCGAAAGATTGTGATTTTTTAATTAATTAATTTAACAAGCGTTAAATAAATTAATTAATTGAGTTGCTTATTTATGGGCCCGATTTAATTAATTTAATTCACGGACCAGATTTAATTAAATGGATTAATTAAATATTGAACCGGGTCAAACCAAACCCGTTTGGGCTTATATAAATAAGTGATTAGAATTTATAATTTTAAAAAAGAATTCATTCTTGCTAGCAAAAGAAAAAAAATCATAATGTTATAATCTTGTTCTCTGTGTGATCACCGTTGGAGGTTGAACAATTGACAACTGTTGATGGCGAATCATGACGAATCAAGATCGTTGGAACAAAACAATAGTAAAGGAGTTTGCAAATCTTGTAAAATGTACAACTTTTATCACAATTTCTATCTAAACACAAAGACGATTTATGATGGGAATCAAAAATTTGTTTTAATTTTCCGCTGCGCACGTTAAATAGATTATTCCCAATAGTGATATCAGAGCCTACTTTGTGTTTGTTAGAAATTATTTTGACGTTTGGGAACAATCAAAAGTTGATTGTTATTGTTTTCATGTTTCTTGCAATTAAGAAAAAATATTTTCATATTCAAAATTTGATTTTGAAATCTCACAAAAAAAGCATCACTGTCACTGCTGGGCAGCTGGAAGGCGACGGGTCTTGCCGGGTAATTGGGGCGGCGCCAGTAGAAGAAGGGCCAGAAAGAGAGTTGGAGGTGGGGGATTCTTGTGCAATTTGTAAAATTGCGA